ATGGCTTATGCTGCTGTAACTTCGCTTAAAGGAACACTCCATCTACACTTCTTGCAACCACAACCACGCTTGCCTCTTCCAGACAACCAAGAGATACTTAAGTCTCTCCATCAAAATCTTGATTTCCTCCAACAAGTTCTTGAGAAATCGGCGATTAAAGATTTTGAGGCAGAGATGAGAGATGTAGCGTTCAAAGCTGAAAAAGGGATTGAGATGGAGTTGACTACCATTTATCTAGCAAAGGGTTTGACGAAGCGTAATCATATAAAGGCTTCCCTCAAAAGGCTTCGTGGAATCTTCAATGAAGCAGTAAAACAGACTGATTACATCAAGAAGAAGTTGATTAAAATGAGTGAAAAGCAGCTAGCAAATGGTCCATCACAAGATGAAATGATGCGACGAAGAGGACTACTCCTTGGTTCAACATCATCACAGCCCGATCCAGAACGCGAGAATAATATTACTGTGAGTAAATTTTCCAAAAACACTTCAATGAAGTTTGACAGTAAAATGGTCGGATGCAACAAGGAGTTCATGACGATAATGGATCAGCTCACCCGACAATCAGCACAACAGCTACAAGTTGTGTCAATTGTAGGCATGGGAGGAAGTGGCAAGACCACATTAGCTTGGAAAGTTTATGAAGATTCATCTATTACTTTACATTTTGACAAACGAGCATGGGTTACTGTATCTCAAGAGTATAACAAGGAACAAATGCTCCAATACCTTATTGGTTGTGTTAATGCAGCATCAACAGATGAACTTCATGAACAGAGCAATGATCTCCATGAACAAAGACAAAGAAATTCCAAAGAAAATCTGCGTAAACTGTTGATGGGTCAGAGGTATTTGATAGTGATGGATGATATATGGAGCACTACTGCTTGGGATAGTGTGCAAGGATGCTTTCCAGATGATAATAATGGAAGTCGTATACTATTGACTTCTCGGCTCAAAGAGGTGGTTGAATATGCAAATTCAGGTAACACTACCATTAACATGCCTTTCTTAGATGCCAATGAAAGTTGGAATCTCTACTGCAATGTGTTTGGTAAAACAGAATTTCTTTCGGTGTTTGAGCAAATTGGTAGAGACATAGTGCAGAAGTGTAAAGGATTACCTCTGGCTATTACTTTAGTAGCTAGTCTTCTCTCCAAGACAGAGGAGAAGGTGAACAAGTGGAAGAATGTTGCAGAAAGTGTAATTGGTGATACTAATGAAGCATGCTCAAGTGTACTATCATTGAGTTACAACCAATTACCACACCCCTCTAAAACTTGCTTTCTATATTGTGGAGTTTTTCCAGAAGATTATGAAATCCCTGTAAAGAAGTTAGTTAAGTTGTGGGTAGCAGAGGGATTTTTCGAGGGAGTGAACAATATGAATCCAGAGGAAGTGGCCACGGAATGCTTGGAAGATCTTGTTGATAGAAGTCTTGTTCTTGTTGGTAAACAGAGTTATAATGGCAAAATCAAGACAATTAGGATGCATGATCTCATGCGAGACTTGTGCTTAAGAGAAGCTCGATGTGAAAATCTCTTGAATGTCATTGGAAATGATTATCATGGTGCTGTTGCTGGACCCGTAAAACTTCCATTTAACAAGAGGAAATCACAGCACTTCTTTTCAAATGCTTGTCCTTGGATAAGTATTAAACCTGGATGTTACAATATTCAAATTAGATCTATGGGCTTTGACAAATTCCATTCCGTACACTCTGCTGGTGCTGTTGATTTCAGCATTAAGGTGCTTTGTCACTTCAAACTATTAAGAGTAATAGACATGAAACTTGGATTCACGAACTTTGAAGATAAGATGCTGTATGTGGCAAGTCTTGTTCACTTGAGATACTTAGCTTTGTTCCTATGTCAAAGAGTACACCCTCTTAAACTAAAGCTCTTTGAGCATTGGAATATGCAAAGTTTGATTGTCCGTGGATGTAGTGTTATATTTGAGGCATTTGAAATTTGGAAAATGCCACTGTTAAGGAATTTTTATGTTGAGGGAATTCCTTTTACATTAGAGGCTTCAGAGGTTGTTCATAGAAACATAGAGACTATATCTTGGTTGCATCCGAAGTGCTGTACAGAGGATCTTTTTACAAGGATTCCAAATTTAAAAAAATTAGGGATTCAAGCAAAAATGCGGCATGAAAATGAAAATTCAGATGGTTTTTGTAATCTTGTGCACTTGAGACAGCTTGAGAAACTAAGCATCAGCGCGTGGCCTATTAAACTTCCATATAGCGGCATTCTATGGGCAACTAGTTTTCTACCAAATCTTAAGAAGCTCAAATTCTTTTGGACTCATTTCGCATGGAGTGATATGAGGCTTATTGGTTTGTTGCCAAATCTAGAGGTTCTAAAATTGATAGATGCTTGTAAAGGCGAAGAGTGGGAGCCATGTGATGGAGGGTTCCGTCAATTGAAAAGGTTGGTAATTAATTGCTGGTGTTTGCAAAATTGGAATGCCGTGGGTGATCATTTCCCTGTGCTTCAACATTTAGAGTTAACTGGTTGCAATATGTTGCGAGAGATCCCTATTGAGTTGGCCGATATCACCACACTTACATTGATTCAGTTAAATAGATGTTCGCATTCTGTTTTGGCTTCTGCAAAGCGTATTCAAGATGAGCAACAAAGCTATGGAAATGAAGCCCTCCTTGTTCGTTCTAGAAATATATTAAGGTCTCTTTCTATCCCTGCCTTCATTATATCTCTGACCGTATCACATTTCATGCTATTTAAATTCTTTGCAATTCCTCTGCAATCAATAATTATGTGCATGCATGCAATGCTTTCTCTCAATTTTCTGTATCTCATATATCCTTACCTATATAAATGTGTCCATCTGTTGTATTCTATTTGCATACACTTGTTTATTTTGTTTTGTTTCTACTCTACTCTACTCTAGTTTTATATATAATCACCAAACAAACTAAATGCATGCTTTTAATCTTAATCTTAACATCTAATTCTTAAACACATACAGACAACTACAAAGATTCAGAGGTGGTGAAAAGTTAAAACGGTGGATGTTGGCGCAGCATAGCAGGAGCTGAAATGATGATGATGATGGATATTGTTATTTTGTTGGATTACTCAGAAATTTACGCACTTTGTTGCACCATGTACCATTATGGTGAGCTGAAATGGTTTCTGCTTCACGGAACTGATTTTTTTTTTTTTTTTTTTTTTAAACTATAAATCAAATGAAGTTGTATTGTGTGGCCATGACCCATATGATGCACATGCTATATTACAACATAGGAATGGACCTTGGTAGTTTATCTTTTGTTAAGGCTTTTATTTATTACCTGTAATGAATAAGTTATTTGGAAATAGACATTTATGAGGAACCATCGAGGAAGGGTTCCGTTAATTGAAAATATTGGTAATCGAATATACATGTTTGGAACGTTGGAGTGCCGTGGGTGACCATTTCCCTGTGCTTGAATGTTTAGAGTTACATAAATGCATGTCTTTGCAAGAGATTCCTAGTGGTTTTCCGTTCTAGCTTCAGCAAAGTTGATTCAAGAAGAGCAATACAAGTATACAACAACTATGGAAATGCCCTCCTTGTTCGTTCAGAAAATTTTATTATGGTCTCTTTCTATCCCTCAGCTCTAATATATATATTATATGTGTGACCATTTAACATATATGCACTTACTTCATGCATGCTACTTGAATTCTTCATGGCCATCATATCTGATCTGATCTGTTTCCTCTCAGATCACTTCTATCTCATATTTCATTGTAGAATAAAGAAGTTGGAATGGTAGAACGAAGCAAAAGCACTCACGGGAGTTTGAAAGGAAGAAGATGAAATGTATTATATCTCAGACAATAAATACCATTGAAAGTTGGCCTATATATAGGCTACAGAAACTAACTGAAAGAAAATAAAAATAAACCATAATTCAAAGCACTACTGCACGATCTATATCCACTACTGCATTATCTGAAATTAGCTCCACGTAACGTCAGAATCGGTCAAGCTGATTATTGGTGTTGTAATGTTTAACACTCCCCTTCAACACCAACTATCTTATTCCTTGTAATACCAAGTTTCTTGCCAAAGTAATCAAGCTTGCTACAGCTCAAACTTTTTGTAAACATATCAGCAACTTGTTCATCAGTTCTAAGATGGATCATTTGTACTTCTCCCTTGAGAACTTTCTCCCTGATAAAATGGTAGTGCACTTCAATATGCTTACTTCTAGCATGAAACACTGGATTTTCTGCCAAACATACTGCTGAAAAGTTATCACAGTACAAGGGAATTGAATACTCTGTTGATTGATGCAAATCTCTTAGCAACTGCACCAACCAAGTGCTCTCTTGTGTTGCCATCGCTGCTGCTCGGTACTCTGCTTCTGTTGTCGACAAAGACACTGTTGGTTGTCTTTTGCTACACCAAGAAAATGATTAAGATACCCCAGTTCTTTCATTTTAAAGCGTATTGACAAATTTTCCTTTGTTCTGAGAACTTCTTCAACATCATCACCAGTTAAAACTAAATCATCCACGTATACTAGCACAATGGCTAGCTTACGTCCTTTAGCTTTGACAAACAAGCTGGAATCTGACTGTGACACCCCAAAAATCCACATTCAATCCATGGATTAATTGAGTAATTAATCTTATTTTTATTTGAGGAATTAATTCCTAAAATCCTGATTTTTAATACTCAAGGACTAGAATTTGACTAGTCAACCTTTAAGTTGTGTTGTACCTTGTGCTTTGAGGGGAGTTCCCTTGTTCCTTACACTTTCTAAGGGTTAGTAAGGGTATTCTTATCTTTTCACCAAGAGTTAGTATTGTAACCTAACCTAGAAGACTTCTTCATTTCATTCCCTACAATTCTTAGAAATTAGTTCTACATTCTCTCTAGAAAAGAAGTGTAGCTTATTCTCCAAGCCAAGTTGAGACCCTTGTCAAGATTCCAAGATTTGCTTCCAAGATTCAACCTTTCACCTATTTGGGCATCTAGGAGGGTAAGATCTAAGTTCATCTTGTGTTTTTGGTTCCATCTTAGTTGTCTTTTTCTTAAAGGTAGGATCTTTATGATCTTTTGGTTTGATCTTGAAGTGGGTTTGGAAAGTAAGCCTTGTGGAGAGCTTGTTGTGGTGTAAAGTGAAGTCTTTTGGTCTTCAAGAGGTAACCCATGCTCTACAAAACCTATTTTGCTTACCTATATGTGATTTCTTGGATTCTACATGTGTTTTGCTATGAAATGTGAGGGTTTATGCATTTGTCTTGTGATATTGCATATCTAGAGCTTGTGTTTAGGGTTCGTTTGTGCCATTGCTTGGCATTTTCCATGGTTCAAGTCATTTTGCTGTGTTTGGTGAGATTTGGCATGTTTTGGACTTGAATTTGTGTTTGGAGAAGAAAATCCCCGAAGGGATTTGTTGTGGAATAGGGATGTTCCCGCGGGCGGAACGGCGGGCGGGGCACCACCCGTCGGCCTACCCGCGGGTACATAGGCCTGTGGGGATGTGTTCCCGCGGGCGGGACCACGGGTGGGGCACTACCCGTGGGGAACACGGTGGTGTTCGTTCGAGATTTGTTCCCCGTGATTTGTTTGACTCGGTATTTGGTCTTTTGGCTTCCCGTTGTTCTTTTGTGGAACTATTTGAGTGTCTTCTTGATGTTTCGTACGTCTAGAACTATATGGTAGGTATCCATGTAGGATTTTGGTGTCTTGAATCGTGCTAAGTGTTCAACATTGTGCTTCGTTGGACCAAGAGGTGTCTTGTGTGTTCCTTGGAACTATCTTGAGTTTCCCCGTTGATAAGCATGCTAGTTTGTTGTCTTAATGCTAGCGTGTGTGTTGTTTGTACCTTCCGTTTGGTTGATGATAACTTGTGTTATCCATCGTTGTTGTCGTTGGGCTGTGACCCATTCCTTGATTGAGTATGTTTCATACCTTCGTTGTGATCCGTTGTTCGACTCTTGTTGAGTTGTGGTGCGTGTGTGGCTCTACCTGGATTGCACGATTAGTGGTATGGGACACTAGTCACCAAGGTATTGCAGCGGTCCTCGTGGTGGCCGTGACGTGATTATGGAGTTGTGGCCTGAGTGATGGGTCCACGTTTTTGGGGGATAACATGTGTTATTCGGGCATGTGTTGCCGTGATTGGTGGTTTTCATTGGTGGTTGATTGGTGGGGGACGACTGTAACACCCCGTGTTACGGCCTTCAATCCCGGATTAATTATTAAATTAATCCCATTAATAATAATTAAATATGATTTAATTCGGTTAGGTTTCCTTTAATTAATTAATAAAGGTCCACCATGAACCGTGGACCTTTGCCTAAATCAGAGTCCTAAGCCTATTAGGAATAAAGAAAGTAAACCCTTTACTATTCAGATTCTAATTAGGAATCCTAGACCTAGTTATCTATTAAGTATAAAGCAAGTAGGCCTTTTACTATTCAGACTACGATTAGGATTCCCTTTAATTAATTAATATGGTCCACTATGGACCATGGACCCTTATCCCTAAACCCAATCCTTAGTTCCAAAAGGAATAGAATTAGCAAGCCTATAATATTAGTTCCTAACCAGGACTCCTAAATATATAAATAGGAGACTTAAGAGGCACCTAGAACCCCCCACCACAATAAATGTTCCACCACCCCAAAGTGCTCCAAGCCCTTAGAAGAAATCAAGAAAGCAAGAAAGCTTAAAGAAAGACCCTTCATAGCCAAGGAATTAATTAAGGCTAAGAGGTAACCCATGTCTCAACAAAACCTATTTTTATAGCTATGATTTCCCCTTAGGGTTTCCCCCATATGATTGTAAATGGCGAATTACTATGATTATTATTGATGTTGATTTAATGATTCCATGGGGAATCTTGATAATCAATTGTAGGCATGGGGGAATAGGCAAGACCACTTTAGCTCGCAAAGTCTATGAAGATCTGTTGGAACCGTTGGTAGAAAAACAAATAATAATCAAATAAAATAAGATTATTATTTTCTGGAAAGTAAGGGAAGGAAAGATGGAGAAAATTTGGCTCGTGTTTGGTGTTGGGTTTTTGCAAGAGTCAAGCGATCACTCTTTCCTTAAAAGCTTATTTGCCATCTCCCAAAAGATGCTAGGAGCGTTGTGGCCTAGGCTTCCCAGGATAAAACTTGCTTTGATTCAATGTTTCAGCATTCAAACAAAGAATCCGGCGAGCAAGACAATGGTTATGAACACAGTATGGCTAAGAAAAGGAGTAGAAGCAGAGTTCTGAGGCTGGAAAACAAAGTTTCGTGTAGTGCTGTTGTTGTTCTCTCTGTGTGAAAATCTGCTTCTCACTACCCTCTCTTATATAGGGATCAAGGAGTTAGATAGCTTTTATTTTGGCATTAAAAGGCACCCCCACAACTCCTATAACAGCAACCACTAACTTGAGTTTTAATTCAAAATTAAAATTGGGATTAATTCCAAAGAATTAACTCCGTAACAGCTGAATTAAAATCCCAACGGTCACAGAAGGAGCTTCAGTTTAGCCACGAAAAGGCCGAACTTTCGGGCACCAGCAAGTTTCGGCCAAGGCCTCAGGTGGCCTAAACTTGCAAATTTCGGCCACTGGGTGCATGTTTCGGCCATCTGGCCGAAACCTCTCAAGTGGCTCTCTGTTAGATGGGAAACCTCTCAAGTGGCTCTCTGTTAGATGGGAAACCTCTCAAGTGGCTCTCTGTTAGATGGGAAACCTTTCGGCCACTGGGTGCATGGGAAACCTCTCAAGTGGCTCTCTGTTAGATGGAAACCTCTCAAGTGGCTCTCTGTTAGATGGAAACCTCTCAAGTGGCTCTCTGTTGGAAAACGTACCGAAGTTTGGCATAACTTAGCCCGCAAGGCCAGCCAATTTCCAAACGACATTCATGCCCGCAGGTGCCGACGCACACGAGCTTGGTCTTGAATCAAGCATTTTTCAATCTCGGGTTCAACTTCGTCTAGTTGGAATTTGATTTGCACCCCCCCCCCCCCCCCGGCGTGAGAGAGCCTCTATGCTATACAATTTTATAAGCTTCAAAAGAACTTTTGTATATAAGGGGGGCAAATCCTCTTTCCAAACCAATATGGGACAAAAACTCACTTTTTCCCTTCATTTTCTAACTCAAATGGGTCTACTTTGAGAATCAATATCTGATTCACCCATTATCTGTTTTGAGCGTACAATATATCGATCTCTTCGTCTCACTACGAAGAATCTGAATCCACTTTAACCCGACCCAAATCGGAAGTGGACCCCACTGATAATTGTACCACAAAAAAGCCACTTAACATGCCATTTTAAGCTATTTTTTCCAACAATCCCCCACATGAATGAAAATTGATTTTCGGGGTATTTTGAAATCGGAAACAACTGTGTTCAAACGGTCGATCCCTGCATAGGATAGGTAGGGAGTCATTATACCCTTTGAACCTTCCCTTGTAAAGACATGTTTACTCTACTGGCTGTACGGTAGAACGCAATGTCTTTAAACTGACTGCCGTTTGTGTAGACGATGACATATCTCACACAGGAATCTCCCAACCATGCTCTTTCTCTCACGAGTGTGCCCGTTTTGGTCGTGGGTCACCGTTCATGGTTCTGCGAGAGTTTCTAAAGAATTTTTGCCCAACAATTCTCCTTTGAAGCGACCCTCACTTCTCTCTAACATAGGTGATTCTTTCTCGAGTATCCCGCACACTCAAGGATTTTTAAAGCATTAACATGCTAGCAACTCAAGAATCATTGAATTTGATCATATAAATTCATATTGGTTTAGCAACATATTTATGAAAATGTTGTAACAATATTGAGGAGTTTATTAGAACAAAACATATAACTTGTGGTGCACTGTTAAGTAATAAATTCTTCAGCATTTAATAGTCTTTAGTTTCTTCAAAATTGATCCTGGGCCATTTTGGTTTGTAAGGCTCAAGACAATTTTGAGAACATAAAAGTAAGACTCATAATGTTCAGTTCATTTTGAGGTGGACCTTAAGATTATTTGGGAAGTTATGGTGTATATTTAACATTCCAAATTTATGGACTTAGAGTTTTGGTTTATTGTCTAAGTTGTTGGAATGATTCTGTGACTTGACTATCTTTTGGCTATTTTGATGAGTGGGAGTAACAGACGTGTTAACTCCAAGCTCTTAGCCGTTAGAGATAGTACTTAAAGTTAACTTATAAAGAAGTCATCGAATATATAGTTAGCATTATGCTAACATTAAGAGATCTCTACTTAAGGCATGCTTTTAAGGATCTTAGAGATCATACATTGTACTCTTTTGTACAATTTGGATAGTTTTCTCTCTTTAGTTGCGCATATATATTTTATTTTGAGAAACACCCCTTACGGTACCAGGAATAAACATAGGGTTTGTTCATAAAGGATTCAAGTTGGGGAATCAAAATGCATGTGATCATAGGAGATATAACTCACTTATTCAGTAGATGACATATTACTATGGTTCGTGTGTTTTGTTCTTTGATGAGAATTGCGCTAGTACTTGCACCAAGTGGGAGACTGTAAGACTTTCCCATATGGGCCTTAATTATGTGGTGCAAGTGGACTAGGCCCATTAAGTAATTGGTTGGACTGGACATTAGGCTAAGTCTGCATTCCACCCATATGCCTATATAAACCCTGTATTGATGGGATACAAGACACATTCATTATATAGCACTTAAGCTATGGTACTCATACTGCTCAGAAAATACCAGTACACCATCTAGGGTTCTGAGTCAAGTATGGGACAAAATGGCTAACCCTATTCTGCAGATCTACTGTTCAAGAGGCAATACAACAGGGTATCAACCATGACTGGAGATCTACAGTGCTTCCGCTTCCGCTACTACGAGTTAAGTTTCTCGTAGATTATACTCTGTATATTTAGATCTCACATATCTTGGTTGCGTCCGAAGTGTTGTACGGAGGATCTTTTTACAAGGATTCCAAATTTAAAAAAATTGGGGATTCTTGGTGAAATGAATTTTGAATATGAAAATTCAGATGGTTTCTATAATTTTGTGCACTTGGGGCAGCTTGAGAAACTAAGCATCAAAAAGTGGCATCTCAAACTTCCGTATAGTGGCATCCCATGGGCAACTAGTTTTCTACTAAATCTTAAGAAGCTCAAATTCATCTTGACTAGGTTTCCATGGAGTGATATAAGACTTATTGGTATGTTGCCAAATCTAGAAGTTCTAAAATTGATACATGCTTGTCAAGGCACAGAGTGGGAGCCATGTGAGGCAGGGTTCCGTCAATTGAAAAGGTTGGTATTTCAAAGCTGGATTTTGAAAAATTGGAATGCGGTGGGTGATCATTTCCCTGTGCTTCAACATTTAGAGTTAAATTGGTGCAATTTGTTGCGAGAGATCCCTATTGCGTTTGCTGATATTACCACACTTGAATTGATTCAAATAAATGGCTGTTGGGATTCTGTTTTGACTTGTGCGAAGCTTAGTCAAGATGAGCAGCGAAGCTTTGGAAATGAAGCCCTCCTTGTTCGTTCTAGACATCTCTTGTATACTATTTGCATACACCTGTGTATTTTGTTTTGTTTCTATACTCTACTTTACTCTAGTTTTAAATATAATGAGCAAACAAACTAAATGCATGCTTTTAATCTTAATCTTTGGTTTCTCCTTAACATCTAATTCTTAAACACATACAGAGATTGAGAGGCGATGAAAAGTTAAGAGCCACAAAGCTAAGCAGAGATGATGATGATGATGATGGATGGATGGATGTTGTCGTAGCATAGCATGAGTATATATGAATCTGCCTGCCACTGGTTTTTGTACTGTACTGTACTTGTTGTGGTTATTTTGTTGGTATGTTGCACCATGTACCATTAGGTGAGCTGAATGGTTTCTGCTTCTTCAATCTAATTTTTTATTTTTAACTATAAATGAAATAAAGTTGTTGTTTGGCCATGAACCATATGATGCACATGCTATATTACAACATAGGAATGCACCTACTTTATCTTTTGTTAAGCCTTTTATTTATTACCAGAAATGAAATGAATGAGCTATTTGGAAATACACATTTATGAGGAACCATTCGAGTAAGGGTTTTGTTAATTGAAAAGATTCACTACTACAGAAAACAGCTTTAACGTCACTATTTTAACGTCGAATTTTAGAAAATCCGACGATAAATATTTAAAATTATTATTATTTTTTTTAAATACATATGACGTCGGTTAAAGAAAATAGCCAACGTCATATATAATCGTAATTAAAAGAAAAATTAAAATAGGTACGACGTCGGTCGATATGACTGGCCGACGTCGTATGTATTTAAATAAGAAAAATTGAAATTAAAATACCATACGATGTCAGCTCATTAAATACCCGACGTCGTATGGTATTTTAATTTCAATTTTTTTTTATTTAAATACCATACGACGTCGGCTAAAATAATTATCCGACGTTGTATCTTGAATAAAAAAAATTTAAAAATATATGACGTCGGCTAATTATATAGCCGACGTCGTATAATTTTTTTTACGTAGTAGAACCCTAATCGAAGCTGCATTCTGAATTCAAACAAAAAAACAACTCCACGCCGTCTGCCGTCGCCACACCTCCGATCCTCACCGCCACACCACCACACCTCCACGCCAGCCGCCGCCGGTCATCCACCGCCTTGTCTTCGAACCGTAGCAGCTCTCCGCCGTCGCCATCCACCGCACTGGTGTCCGCCGCTCTCCTCCACTGTTCTCCGCCACTCGTCCCCTCCACTGTTCTCCGCCGCTCTCCTCCACCGCTCTCCGACGCCGCCGCCACAGCTCGAACGCTCGGGTCTCGTTTCTCGCCGCCGGACGCCGCCGTCACAGCTCGGGTACGTAATATATATATATATATATATATATATATATATATATATATATATATATATTTTATTTTTATTTATTTATTTATTTATTTATTTATTTATTTATATTTATAATCATTTTTTATATATTTTGTAATTATTTTTTTTATATTTTTTGAATTTTATAAATTATTATGGTGTATATTTCGAAATTTTAGGAATAATTGTGTAAAAATGTACTTTTTGATAATTTTGGGATCTAGACTTAGTGATTTACTGCAATTTGTCTATTGTGTTTAGCAAGATTCAATTCACATTGTGTTTGGCATGTTCTTTGGTTAGTTAGGATGTATAAGAAAACATCTAGAATTGATATGAAATTAAATTATCTGCTGCCATGAATTCCCGTGTTCCTTTTCTAGATTATTTGCGTCCATTAAATGCTACTTGTTTGCACTACGTAAATGCTAAAATTATTATAGTTGTTGTAGTAGTTATTATTATATAAATTTGTTAAAATAGTGTTAACAAATGTTTAATTATGGTTATTATTATTTTAGATTGGCTTGTACGTGATAGATAAAAGTTGGATAATAGCTAATCGACTTAGTACGGAATATGAAGATGGAGTTCGAAAATTTTTAGACTTTGCAAAGAGTAACCTTCCGAATAGTAATAACAAGTGGTTGTGTCCTTGTAAGAAATGTTGTAATCAGAAAAAGTTAGGTGAAGAGGACATATATGATGATCTAATCGTTAATGAGATTAATCCATATTATACACAGTGGATTTGGCACGGTGAACGCGATGTGTCTACGACATCTAATGTGTATGTTGACAATGAAGATAATGAGTCTGAAGATCGGTTGGATGAACTATTTCGCGATGTTGGAGAAGAGTTTACCAATCGGTCAAATGAGTTAGATGAATTATTGAATGATTCAAAACAACCGTTATGGCCGGGGTGTAGTAAATATTCCCGATTATCTGCTATATTAAAATTATTCAACTTGAAAGATGGGAATGGGTGGAGCGACAAGAGCTTTACTACTTTACTTGAAATAGTAAAGGACATGCTTCCAGATGGTAATGAACTTCCCAATAGTACGTATGATGCCAAAAAAATTTTGTGTCCAATGGGTATGGGATATATAAAGATACATGCTTGCCCTAACGATTGCATATTGTTTAAGAATGATTACAAAGATTTTCATGCATGTCCAATATGTGGGGCATCTCGTTATAAAACAAGCGAGAATGTTGCTGGTAAAGTACGTTTGAAAAGGCCATCAGCTAAAGTTTTATGGTATCTCCCAATTCTTCTAAGATTTAAGCGCCTGTTTGCAAATCCAAGCGATGCGAAGAACTTAACATGACATGCAGATCAAAGGATTTCTGATGGCAAGCTTCGACACTCGGCTGATTCTTCTCAATGGATAACATTTGATAATGCATTTCCTGAATTTGGTCACGAGTCGAGAAATCTTAGACTTGGACTTTGTACTGATGGTATTAACCCCCACGGGAATCTAAGTAGCAAGCATAGCTCGTGGCCAGTTATGTTGATAATTTATAATCTACCCCCTTGGTTGTGTATGAAACAAAAATACATATTATTATGTTTGATGATTTCTGGGCCAAAACAACCAGGTAATGATATAGATGTTTATTTGGTGCCTTTGATTGATGACTTGAAGCAATTATGGGATGAAGGTGTGTTAGTGTTTGACGCATACCGGAATGAGACTTTTAAGTTGCATGCAATGCTTTTTTGCACAATCAATGACTTTCCAGCTTATGGAAATCTGTCTGGATATAGTGTCAAAGGTCATAAGGCATGCCCCATATGTGAAGATAATACATGTTATCATCAACTTGTTTATGGTAGAAAGACTGTATACATGGGGCATCGGAGATTTCTTGATAAATTTCACCCTTATCAAAAATTAAAAAAGGCATTCAATGGGGTGCAAGACTATACAGATGCTCCATAACCATTGACTGGGAATCAAGTTTATGAACGAGTTGAATGCATCAATGTTACTTTTGTTAAGACTCAGGCTTAAATCTCAAAGAGGTAAGAGGTCAAAATCTACAAATGAGAAGAGTCGTGGAAAAAGAAATTTATATTCTTTGATCTTTCATATTAGAAGACACTAGATGTGAGACATAGTATTGATGTGATGCATATGGAGAAAAATGTATGTGATAGTCTGGTTGGAACTCTTGGAGACATAAAAGGTAAGTCTAAAGATGGACTCAATGCTAGATTGGATTTGGTTGAAATGTGTATACGACATACATTAGCTCCACGTTCCGAGGATAAGAAAACATATTTGCCTCCCGCTGCTCATACTTTATCAAGAAAGGAGAAAATAAGTTTTTGTGAGTGTTTACGTGGAGTAAAGGTACCACAATGGTATTCATCAAATATCAGTAGACTTGTTAATATGCAAGATTTAAAGTTGGTGGGGTTGAAGTCTCATGATTGTCATGTCTTAATGTAACAACTATTACCAGTGGCTGTTAGAGACATATTGCTAAAAAGTTGAGATACACCATCATAAGACTTTGTTTCTTTTTCAATGCAATTTATGGAAAAGTTATTGATCCAGACAAATTAGATGAATTGCAAAATGAAATTATTGTTACACTGTGTCAGCTAGAGATGCACTTTCCACCTTCATTTTTTGATATCATGGTTCATTTGCTTGTGCATTTGGTGAGAGAGATCAAACATTGCGGTCCAGCTTATTTGAGGGGGATGTACCCATTTGAATGGTACATGAAAGTATTAAAAGGTTATGTTAGGAACCGATATAGGCCGGAAGCATCTATTGTTGAAAGCTATGTTGCTGAGGAGGTTACTGAGTTTTGTACTGAATATTTGGCACGGGTTGAGTCTATTGGAGTTTCTAAGAATCGACATGAAGGAAGAATTACTGGGAAGGGTACTCGAGGAGTCAAAGTGAATACTATGCCCTGTGAAGATGTTGAGCAGGCACACTTGTACATCTTGCATAATACAAGTGAAGTCGAACCGTATTTAGATGAACACAAGGCATTGATTACGGAGCAAAATCCTAGAAGGACAGACATGTGGATTGTGGGCGAACATAATCAAACTTTTATTAGTTGGTTCAAAAATAAAGTTCTTAAAGAGAATAATGTTTCTGAAACTGTTTCATGGTTAGCACATGGTCCTGGTTTGGATGTCCTATGTCATAATGGATGTGACATTAATGAGTTTTCTTTTTATACAAAAACTCAAGATGAAAAGAGCACTATGCAAAACAGTGGAGTTACTTTGGTTGCAAATTCAATGCATTTCAGTAGTTCGAAAGATACAAATCCCGTGTTTGCAGAGTTGTCATATTATGGTGTGATTGAAGAAATATGGGAAGTTGATTATGTTTCGTTTAGGGTCCCGGTGTTTCGATGTAGATGGGTAGATAATAAACATGGTGTAAAAGTTGATGAGTTAGGATTTACCCTGCTTGTGGATTTTAATCGGGAAGGACACAAAAATGAGTAGTTTATAATGGCATCCCAAGCAAAACAAGTCTTTTATATTAGTGATCCTTGTGACAAAAAATGGTCAATTGTTCTTCATGGAAAGAGACAAATTGTTGTAGATGAGAATGTAGATGTTAGTTTTGATATTGAGGAAATACCACCATTTTCTTCAAGTTTATTGCCCCCCGTTATTGATAATGAGATAGATGAAGTGCATGCATCACGAGATGATCATCGTGAAGGGATATGAGAGAATTGATTATTATATGTAATGCTTTAATTAGGTATTTATTCTGTTTTTTATGTTTTCTTATTCTAATATTTCTATATATTCTGATAATTTTTCTTTCTAAACAGGCGTATGGATTCAACAGATGATGG